GACCGGTGAAGTGAAGGGGAAACCATTAAAACATGTCGCAAGGTAAGAGCCGATGCAATATTCAACTCCTGCCTTCCCTCCGGGGGCAGAGCCGGGATGCTGGATCATTGGGCGGTTAATCAAAGCTGAGATGCTGACCACTGACCTTGAATGCTGTGGATCAGGGACAGGCTGCTTTAAATCCGGGGTCAGATAAGCAGTCGAATCTAAAGTGATTCAACAAAGACTTTTGGACCCGAGATGAATATCAATCAGACTCTGAAGAGACCGTTTTTTTTTCCTTTTAAAGATCGATTTACGCCGGCATTTAAATGCGTTTGCATTCTCAGATGTTGGGAAGGAATTTGCCTCGGATGACACATGTCCATGTAAACACACACGTAAACAGCCCACTTTCTATTTCTATTTTGGCCGCGCTAACATACCGTCGCTTTCTTCTTCGCATGAAGTCCCTGGCAGCTGTTTGATCCTCTGAGCTTTGGCCCCACATGCCGTGCAGCGAGGCTTTAGATGCCACATTGCAACCCTGACCAAGTTGCCTTTGGACAGGAACCAGCACAACTCCATCCCACAGTCTAAAAGTCTTGAGAGAAAGAAAAGAAAACTGAAAAAAGATCACAGAGACAGAGAGATTTAAAGGAAGTTTAACAGAGAAAAAGAGGTAGATGGAGCAAGGGGGGCAGAAGGGAGAAGGGAGTCCAAACAGTTGGCTTTGGTTCCTAAATCAACTCTGAGCAGAAGATGAAGTTTAGAGCTATGCGCTGGAAAAGCCACAAGCTGTTCAGCCAAGATGGAGCGGAGGAAGGATTTTCATTTTTCCCGGAACAGAACAAAGACGGTGAAACATGTAGACGTATGAACTCTGAAGAGAGACGGGCCCAAACAAGGAAAGGGGGCGCAGGAAAAAGGGGTTTGAGTCTTGCTGACAAGTTGTTTTAGTTAAATCACCGGAGAAATCAGAACGTGGCCACGATTTCAACTTAATTTGTGGGAAATTTCTTTGCAAAAATATGCAAACGGTGGGCATGGGCCACCTTGTACATCGTCTTAGTCTTGTTGTATTGGAAGCTGCATATGTCAATTTCAAACTACTTACTTGCCCCAGTGGTTCCTTCACCCATATGCCATCAATACTGCATCATCGCAGACACTGGCTTTTGTTTATTTCTCCAAAACCAGCTTGGACGGTCTTTTTCATACTTGGCCCACGGAACCAGACATCCATTTCTCTCAAAAGCAGCCAACTGAACTGACCACAGAGTATGTGTCTACATGAGCCCGTGACCAGAGAACTTTCCAGTCTTGAGCGATTGATATATAGCCTCCTTAAGTAACGTGGGCACAGGTTACATTTCTGGATGCAGCAGTCGACTGTTGAGTAAAAATAGTTTTCGAATGTACTTGTTTCTTATGCAGGTCACACGCATACAACAGCAGTCTCTGTCCTTGGCACGACAGGGACTCAACAAATCATTTCACAGTTTTTCGCTATGTACAGTAGTTGTTAAAAGATCAAAATTCTTTACAATCTTACATTGACTAATAATTTTTTGGAACTTATTGATGATTATCAGACTGGGTATGGCATAAATAAACTCTTACCCGTATTCACTTCGGAAGACTAAACCTTTTGCAGATGAAATTTATATACCCAATCCTGACACCCTTACCTGCAAATCTTCCAGATGAGCGTTACATGTATATTCTACAAACCTTTCTTGCTTTCAGTATTGCAAGTGGGACAAAATTCCAGATGTTTCAAGGTATAAATTACTGAAGACTCTTTATGTGGACTTAATTAAGGAACTTTTTTATGGCCAAATGCATCGTTAGCACTATCTTTGCAGGGTTTTCCTAACTACTCCCTAGGTTCCCATAATATTTATGTATCGGCTTCAGTTATCCATACTGCTTTTATTGAGTCTGTGCCAAATAGGTGTCACAAAATGTAAATCTAGACACAGTCAATATGATGAGGTAACCAGGCAACACAGAGATTTAAGCTGCCATTCCCGCTAACATGGTAGCAAAATGTTTACAATGAATTTAGCATAGTCCTCTGGTCTCACCTGATTTGTCTCATCTTTACTGTTGCTTCACTGAGATAGCTCCAATATGTGAATAGTTCATTTTGTGGCTTTGGCCAATACGGCTGTGGAGAGACATGTTGTGATTATGAGGTTTTGGTGGATGCAGGGAGAGCCTGAAGGTCTGACTGAGGAGGGACACATAAACCCAAAGGAGGAGAGCAGCTGTTGTGGGAAGTGGGAAGATAAAGATGGACAGAAGTTTAAAAAAAAGTCATAGCAAAAACATGAACTAAAAATGTTATTTTCTGTTATATATGCCATTATATTTCCGACAAACACACATTAGCACTTTGAATTTTCTCGTGCAACAAATGTGGACAACAAATAAACGTGCTTTGACTGCCTATTAGGGAGCTTTAAAGTGTTACTTATGATTTTTAAATTTAAAAATCTGAAGGTATAACCAAGCTAGTCTAACTTAACTTTGGGTAAAGTCGGTCGATAGTGCAGGAGCAGCAGTGCCGCAGCCCTGAGCACTGCAGTTTGTTTGGGGCCTGTTTGGGGTGAGCGGATATTCCACGTTTCATTTCTTTGGTTTCCTGTGAGATGGACCCACTGCTGCAAGCACAGGCAAATTAAGGCATGAGCCGCGGAAATGTGGATGGAGCAAAGCGATGAATCTGGGGAATTACCTAACCCTAAGACTGCTATATTGTTTCCGCTGTGGTAACCTGGTCAGGGAGAAACTCAAATTGCATATAAGTGTGAGAAAAACATCGAGCTGGCCCTGTGGTGGACTGGCAACCTGCGCAGGGTGAGCTCTGGTACTTCCCCTTTGTTGCGTAACGGCAGCAAGAAGCACTTTGGCTCTTCCTGTTAGTTGGAAAGTTGGAAATTAAGTTTCAGTCTTTTATAAGACTTTCTTTTAAGATGAAACAGCAGTTTTTTATGATTCATCTGAATAAAAACTAACTAAATCTATGAAGAATGTGGCATTGTTTGGCTTCCCAACAAAAATTCCCTTTCTTCAGATAGCAGGGACTCAAAGGCAATTTTAGTGCTTCAAAGCACAGTAAAAAATGGGAGGTAACTATTTAATTTCAAACAAACATCATGTCATCTTACCAAATGCTCTATATACCGACTATTAGCAAAACTTTAGCACTGTTAAATTGTGAGTGCTTTAATGTCAGAAGAAGTAAATGACTAATACTGACTAGTAATGACTAATTAATTTGTTAATTCTGTGCAGTATCCATTACAATTAATAGATTGTTGAAATTCTTCATTATTTAAGGTGTATAAGCTTTTTTCCAAGCAAATGGGATTTAATCTAGAAGTCTCACATTCCTCCCATTAAAAAAAAAGAAAAAAAGTCTACCCACGAATGGGAGAGAATTTCCTGACAGTGTTTTCATTGTACATGAGGCGTGCAGGCCATCTGCATTCTGACCTACATGACCGGCTGATTGAGATGTCTGCGCTGACAGGTGCTGTGTGATCCAGCGCTGACCAACAGCATGTGCCTCCGCGGCCATGTTTGATCTGAATCCCTTTGGCTTGTCTGTCGTATTACAGCAGTCGCCTGATTGATCTTCGATTGGCCAATACTCCATCTATGGATCACCTTGGTTGACACACTCTGTGGCCTTACGGTCATGCGTACAGGCTAAACTTAGCCTTCTCAAATCGAGGGCCTGAAAGATTCCTGTCAACGAAATGAAACCCCGCATGCAAAAGAACATACAGTGATAGTTTCGAAGAGGAACACGTAGGTGATCACAAACACGCACAGCGAAAGCAGGATTCTCAGACATGGAGAAGTTTTCAGTGTTGACAGGTCAGCCGATGGGTCGAGTTTCTCATGCTAGCTGGGGCTCTGTAGTGCATGCGTGCTATGCGTGCGCTTTTGCAACATGTGTCTCGAACTCAAGGTGAGGAACACGCCACGCTGCCGTCGATTCAGCTCGCAAGACGGACAAATAAGAGGGCGGTGGGCCGGCCCTAGCTCAGATTTATGGGCGTTAACTGTTGGCCGTCAGTGTGTGAATGACAGAGGTTCAAATTCCTGGTAGCGCCATTCGGGGGTGTTTGTCTGTTTACTGCATTGCTGACATTGTTTGGGGCTGTGGCTTGGTGGCTGTGGTGCCTGGAGATGTGAGGGAGCTGCCGCAGAGACTGGTGGTCAAGACGGAGGAGGGGGGGAACGTAGGAGGAAAGCAAGAGGTATCATAGAAAAGGAAGGGCGGCTTGAGACCGGGACTACTGTGGGTGAACTCTCTATGGGAATAAGAAATGAAGGGATAGTCAACAGTTTAAAGAAGAAGCATTGTTTTTGCCATTGATTAAATAAAAAATAAAAAAGCAGTCAAATACAACACAGTAAAAGTGAACCAAGGATCCGAAAGACGACGCCGAACTGCTAGACAGGATACAGAGGGAAGGGAAAGTAAAGTGAGTCAGAACAATGGGTTTCTGTATTTAAGTCTGTAGGAGTATATTTTTGCACAGCTGGCTATAGCTGCTGGGCCAAACAGTCACAAAAACTATTTTCAGCCCTCGTCCGAGACTGCAGGGCTGTAATCAACTTAAAATCAGCCCTGAATAATGGCTGCCTGGTGCATGGAAGAAATGAAGCAACGAGTGTGTAAAAACAACAACAAAGAAAGTCTTTGGAAAAAGATGAGAGTATAAGAAAGGGCACCTACAAGTAAAGTTAAGCACACAAGGATATTACTGCTCATCTACTGGGTCACAAAATGAACAAAAATAAACCTCTCACCGAAAGAATAATTACAAATATTGAGTCAGCATATCTTCCCCTGAAAATTTAGGTCAATGGTAAACAACAACGCAATAACTTTTTGTCACTTGCAAAGCCTTTGAGTCTCTTATTGTTCAGAAACCATGAATGCATTCAGATCATATATACAAAACGTGTTTTCGGGAGCTAAACACTGGGAGGACAAAATGGTAGAAAAGGTCCCTAACGATTCTGATTTGTTGTCAACAGGAAACGTCTCCCGTCACAAAACGACGGAGAATGGGATTAAGGGGAGGCCGCCGTACTCAGTGGAAACACCTTATGGATTCCAAATTGATCTGGACTTCCTCAAGTATGTAGATGACATAGAAAAAGGAAACACCATCAAGAGAATTCCCATTCAGCGTAGAAGCAAAGGGACCCGAGCCAGCACGCTACCCAAGCACCTCAACCCGTCCGCCTGTGCTTACCGCCCAAGCCCATGGGGGTCCACAGGGGCTCTTGGCCCCTGGTCCCGGCTGTCAGACACCCATCAACATGGAAGCACGTCTTGGTCGTACAATCACAGGCAGCCCCTCTCTCCCACAGGCCTCAAATCTCTGGCAGAGATGGAGGCACGAATCAAGGAGTTCGACGAGCAGCCCCTCGGAGAGCACATCAGGCCTCACCTCCTTCGCGCTTCCAGTTTGCCGCTCACAGTGTTACTGAGGCAGGAGTCCGAGTCCACAGATGACCGAAGCAGCCTCCGGAGTTCAAGAGATCAGCTCGGGGGAGTGAACACCTCGTACGAAGACGTCTTCCGTTCTCTGGACAGCCCTCGGCCACAGGACTGCTCGGGACTGATGAGACGCCTGACCGAGGCCCTGGAACGTGTGGGGGAGCTGGAGATGGAGGTGAGGGTCATTCCCGAGCTCAGGGCACAGGTCTGCATCCTCGAGGAGGAGAGGGAGAGGCTCTGCCTGGGCCTGGTCCCACACACCTCAGCCTCCGCCATGAATGGAACCACAGAGCCCTCAGCCTCCTCTCCATACGGCAAAGCAGACGTCAGAAGGCCTCAAAGTGAGAGCCGCCACGGGTTTCCTCGAAATCCTGCCCTCACCCGGGCCGATTCAAATCCCGGGCACGAGTGGAAGAGCAGCACCGACCTGGACGAGCTGCTGACCGTAACGTCCCTTCAGGCCAAAGTGGCGGCCCTGGAGCAGAAGCTCCACGAGACCGGCCTGGACCTCCAGAGGGTGGTGGGGCTGCTGAGGGAGCAGCAGGAGGAGAGCAGGAGGAAAGACGAGAAGATAGAGCACCTCGTCAAGAACCCGGGGGTGTGGGTCCGCGCGGAGAGGGTGCTGGTGGAACAGGACGGGGACCAGACCGTGGTGCGATCCATCGAGCCAGATCGCAACAAAGCCTCCTCCTTCGTTTGCTCAAGGACCGTCACCACCAATCCCCAAAGCCACCGACAACAAGGCCCAACATCCGAAAGGGGTCCACTTACGGAAGCCGGCGGAGCTTTAGGAGACACGGCAATGGTCGTTCACCACATTAAGAAGATCAAGAGTCTCCTGGATCAGCAATGGGAATGTGTGTGCGGGGAGACTCAGTCAGGTAAAGAAGGGAGACCTTTGAATCACCCAGATCCCAAAGTGGGCTCCTTACAGCGGGAGATGATGGAACTGGTCGACTTTCTCATGTCCTACTACGAACAGAACGCACACAGTGAAGGTGAGAGCATTTGGCATAGAGGTACTGTGAGCCATAATTTGCTTGATATTTACGAATCACTTTGACCACGTTTGACAAGTATCTGCAGTGCATGATAATGAGGCAGCTGGCCGACGTTTTTCCGTTTCCGCCCAGGCTTGTTGGTCACGAGCCATGAAATGCAAATTAGGGCATGTCCGCCAACATTTTCTGTTCACTGGTCTGGCTTTAAGGCTTGCAAGCCAGTTCTCGCACCTCTAAAATAGGTCCCTTTTTGTGTCTTTTCCATTCCCTAAAAATCTAAGAATATAAAGTTTTGCTTATGAGAAATATAATCTCTTCGAGTCCGTCACCTCCCTAGGAGACGAGGCTGAGACACCCTCTAAGGGAAGGACAATGATGTCACCTATACTGGGCGACTGAGCTCCTCATCCCATTCAATTCATTTAAATTAATTAATTATTTCATACAGTCTGCTTTAAAAATCCTCATTACTTCGGAGGAATGGTGAAGCGACAGGCTCATCTTTCACCTCAGCTCTCTGAGTACAGCTAATGGTTAACACACCCACACCGCTGCGTATGCCGCCGCCCATCAGGTCATTCAGTCTCCATCTCCATTCCCCATGTCAACAAAACCACTAAATACTTCCACTCCTCCACCTTGAGGTAGTGACTCACCCTTAACATGAAGAATGCAATCCACCCTTTTTACAAAGGGGAACCATGGCCTTGGTCCAGAGGGTGCCAGTTACCAGACCGGCCGCTTCACTTTTTCTGTGAAACCGCTCCGGTTTCACCTGAAATGTGAACCAGACTCTCAGTTAATACTTCACACTTCTTACACACCTCTCAATTGAAGGAAAAAAAGTCACGCATCCCTCGCTAAAGAATTTTTAAAAGAACTATCTGGAAAAAGCTAAAGATTATTTGAAGTCAAGTCACTGTTTGTTGGGGTTGAAATACTGTCCCAGAGATGAAAAGGAACAGATCACAGCAAAACTTAAATAAAATATTGTCTCAATTAGCGTATTTTTCCTCACTCGGTTCACAGGTAAAAACAGAATTAGAATTTTTTTCCGCTTGTTCAGAAGCAGAAAAGTCAGGAACTCCAACACATTTCTTCAGATCTCTGTGTCTGGATGAATCCTCCTTAGTTTTAGTTGAACCTCATGAGGTTGATCTGGGTTAGATGAATTATAGTGTTTTGAAATAAGATGGTTAAACACTGTGTAGGGCCAAACCTGAGCAATACAGAATGTGGGTTATGAGTCATCGTGGCACAGAGCAGGAACGCTTCCCTCAGTTTGAGTGCCAACTTTTACAGAAGTTTTACAGCTGTAAGAAAAACGGAGCCGTGCATGAAAACTAAAACCATATGGAAAAGACGAATCTCATAAGGAGAGTGTACGTTGCTGAAGCTTCATTGCTCCCTGTGTTTCTGTCTTCTTTTCAGGCTCTAAATCCACCCTGAAGACGGATGGATGTCCCCCGAGGCCCAAAAACCTGCACTCTGAGGCTGCTAATGATGGGTTAGTAAATAACTCTGTGTGACTTAAGCAGCTTTTACGGTTATGATTGTTGGTTATTTGACTGAAATGGAGAATCTTTGAGCTTTTGTTGCATGACTCTGACCAGGACAGGCATCCTGATTTCAGACTGGAATATCAAATCCACTCTGCCTGAAGTTGAAAGAAAAGCGCTGACTGCCTTTTTCCAAAGATAACAAAGGGACCGAGGACATTTGCCTCAAATAATTTTTCCCCCTATTGCTTTTGTTCAACAGAGTCGGTGGAATAATGTGTTTTCTGATTGCAACAGACAATCTTTACTTAAAATCCAAACCTACAACGATTTCCATTTAATTACAGTTTTTTAAAATGATTGGTTTTCGCGCAACACAGCAATCTAGAACGTAGAACGCTGATATTTGCATTTTAATGTGCTCACACAAACTACTGCCTATTTCCTGAAAGTTTAAGCTCTCACACCTGACCCTTTTAAGGACTTAATCAAGCAAACGCGTCATTTCATTTCCCGCATTTTCCACCCACCAGATCCAAAACGCCCACAGGTGGAAATTGCGTGAACCATCGAAGGGAGGACAGCACCGCTTCTGGGTGGAGGGACGCTGCCCAGGTGGCAGCAGAACCTGTGAGGGGAGGGCTGGAGGGAGAGAGGAGCACGGGAACAGACACACACACGACGCCGTCGGGAATGCGACCGGGGCGAACAGATGGAGGTTTGGAGCCTCTTGAGGCTGAGGCTCCGGGGAGAAAAGTCCAAACGAAACCCCCCCGAGAACAGATGGAGGGAAATTCTGGCTCAGAAACCAGCGGCAGGTGAGAACACACACACGCGCACAAACACACACACACGCCGTATCACTGTGTGTGACTGTGGCGTTTCCTCTCATGGAGGTCCACATGCCTTTTTGTTGTAGGGACACGGTGAGTGCGGATTTTCTGTCCGCCTGCCATTTCCTCAAAGATCACATGGACAACATGCACAACCCCAGTGAGGACATGGTAAGCATCCTTAAAACCATTCCTACAAATATAATCAAAGGATCTCTCTTGTAGATACAAATAACCACCTGACAGCACAATTTTGTGAAGCACTGTAAGCTTCACTTTAGGGGCCTCGAATTCTCAGTTCTGGGCCAGTCGTCCGCTCCACCTGCTGAGGCTCTTCCAAGAGGCTGACAGAGAATTCAGAGTAACCAATGTTAACTTGGACTTCATTGGTTTAAATGCGGCCAAACCTTCAGGAAAACCTTTACAGATGCTCCACTACTGAGAATTCAAAAGGGATAGAGCATTTCAGGTCTTTCTTATTCTCTTCCTGCAAGCATTTTTAAGTTAATCAAGTTCAATTCTGTTTAATTTTTTTACCTCCAAATTGCTACAAAAGTAATCTTGAGGCACTTAAGTTCTGCTATTCTTTCCAAATGAATCAGAATCTCCAGTCGTTGTCATGCATTCGCAATCAAGTCAGTTCCAATTTCTTAAAATCCTATTTATTCCAATTCATACGAAGCGAGTGATAGAAAAGAAACTATCCTTTGCTGAGTAAAATAAAGGCTGCATTGAAACCTTTTCTCAGTCCAATCCCTCATCCTGAACAGTGAGAAAAAACAACAACAACTTTTTTTTACCCTTGTGTGTCCTCCTGGGGTCATCAATACCCCATATTCATTTAATCCGGGAGCGGACGAGATATAAAATGCATTCAAAAGGAAAGTTTTATTCTGGTCTTAAAAGAAGAGAGGGTTTCTGCATCCCAGATGTCGGCAGCTGGTTCAACATGAGAAGAACCTGATAAGTGAAGAATGTCATAAAATGTTACGGTGTAAGGTGAAATACGATGGTGGAAACAAGCTTTTGGAAAGTTCAGCGCCAGACAAAAAAAAACAACCGAGCCAGTGGGCTGCTCATCTTTCCCCAAATCATTCTGACTGAATACGGACCATGTGCCATTGTGCATGAGAGATTGGACTAATGAGTCCAGATTGATTGTGTTCCAGGGAAATGAGTGCATAAAGTCCCAGACGACTAGTGCCAACTGAACGGGCCTGTGGGGCAGTGTCGTGATCTGAGGTGTTGCCCCAGTTGGTTGGGTTCAGCAAAGTTATGTGTCCAAACAAACCAGGTCAGCGGACAACCAGAATGTACTGGATGAGAGGGTTTTCCAATCCACAGACTTCTTTTCTTCCCGGATGGCACTAGCATACTCCGAGATGACAATGGCAGGAGTCATTGTGCTCAGTCTGTAAGAGGGTGCTTCAGACATGGTTTTAGTTCGACTTCCCCATCATTAAGAGTTAGTTTTTATTCAAATCATCTAGAGAATAGCGCTACTGTGGACAAAGGTTGCCCAAAGGTTGTCCAAATGACGCCTAACAAAACTGAATTTACAACATGTCAAAAAGATTAGACATAGATTAGACATAGTTTTTTTGGGGGGCTGGTTACCTTATTTGGGTATCAGCCATTTGATGCACATCTAAATACAAAAGCAATATCCATCCATCCATCCACTATCATTACCTAACGTTACCATTATTCCCCAATGGGGTCGCGGGGGGAACTGGAGCCTATCCCAGTGGTCAATGGGCGAGAGGCAGGGTACACCCTGGACAGTCCGCCAGTCCATCGCAAGTCAGAAGAGCAATATGTATTATCGTAATGCTTTTCATTTTGACATAATACCTCATGGCCCTTCCTAAAGGCCCTCCTCTGACTGTTCCTGCTTTCCAGAAAAAGGCCCTGGTCGTGTTGTTCCAGCACTGGTTCGGCGCCGCCGCGGAGGAGGGGTCCGAGGCCCGAGGCGTGGCCTCGCACCTGAAGGAGGTCAAGGCGGCGACGCCCTCGCTGCTGGCCTTCGTGGTCAACCTGGCGGACGACAACGGCAACACGGTGCTGCACTACAGCGTCTCCCACTGCAACTACGCCATCGTGGGCCTGCTGCTGCAGACAGGTGACGGCAGGGGGGCCGCCCGGCAGAGAAGGGCGCGGCCCAGAGGTCCGGCCCCTGCTCACAGTGTCTTTGCAACGCCACAGGGGTCAGCGACGTCAACGTCCAGAACAATGCCGGCTACACGGCGGTGATGCTGGCCTCACTGACGGCCCCAGAAGGACCGGGAGAGATGGAAGTGGTTCGCAAGCTAATGGAGCTGGGAAACGTCAACATCCGCTCCAGCCAGGTAACACACCCAGTGACGGACTCACATCCATCCATTATCGCAACCACTTATTCCCTAATGGGGTAGCAGGAGGACTGGAGCCTAACCCAGTAGTCAATGGGGAGGGGAGGGGTACACCCTGGACAGTCCACCAGTCAATCGCAGGGTGACACAGAGACACACAAGGACCAACAACCAAGCACACTCAATCTTAAGGGAAATTTGGAATGTCCAATCAACCTAACATGCAGGTTTTTTTGGGAGGAAGCTAGAGAACCCAGAGAGAACCCACGCAGACACGGGGAGCATGCAAACCCCCGGGGACTCGAACCCAGAACCCTCTTGCTGTGAGGCCATGGTGCTGACCACTACATCACTGTGGCGCCAGACTCGCATCCATCTGAGAAATCAACCCAAAATATTGTCTAAAAACAAGTTTTGTCCGTTGTCTTCCTGCTGTTCAAGCATCTTTGATGGCTCCGTTTAGCATAAAATATTAAATCTGGTCAAAACTTCCCACGGGGGAAGAGCCGGTTTCATTAGGCTCTCCGTCTCCACAGACGGGTCAAACGGCTCTGCACCTGGCGGTGAGACATGGTCGGGTGGTTATGGTCCGTCTGTTGCTGAGCTGCGGGGCAGACGCCAACGTCCAGGACAGCCAGGGGACCACGGCCCTCATGTTTGCCTCCGAGCGGGGCCACACGCACATCGCGAGGCTGCTGCTGGAGAGAAGCCAGTGCGACCTGACGCTTGCCGACAAGGTAAAACCACAATTTGGATGCCATCGTCTCCGCACGGAAACCCTATCCTGTTTCAGGTGGTTTTGTGTGAGTCTGTTTAAGTGAAGGCTGGGCAGGGATGCAAAGGACCGGATGAGCTTCCATTTTTTGAAAGAAAAAACTGATAGCACAACACATCCAAAAAACACTTTTATCCACGTTAAGATCAATCCATTTTCTGAACCGTGCATCCATCCATCCATTTTCATAACCGCTTATTCTCTTATGGGGTTGCAGGGGGGACTGGAGCCTATCCCAGTAGTCCACACCCTGGACGGTCCACCAGTCCGCCACAGGGCCACACAGAGACACAGAAGGACCAACAACCACACACACTCACACCTAAGGGCAATTTAGAGTGTCCAATCAAGAAAATATGCAGGTTTTTGGACGGTGGGAGGAAGCTGGAGAACCTGGACACAGAACCCACACAGACACAGGGAGAACATGGGAGAGTCTTCACACACTCCACTCTGGGGAGAGCTCCACACAGAAAGGTCCTGGTTCTCCCGGGAACTTGAACCAAGAATCCTCTTGCTGTGAGGCCATGGTGCTAACCACCACACCACCGTTCCACCATCCACCTTAAGATCAATAAAATAAAGACATATGCTTCTTGTTATAGAGCACAAAACAGGGGGGTACAAAGCTAGGTGTGTTGAAGCAGAGGAACGGAGCAGGACACTCCTGATATAAAGCTACAGAGGGTTACCATCTCTAAAACTTAAAGTGTATACAAGCTGTTGTCTAGTTTGAGACCCTTTAGGGGAATGTGTTAGATAGGGGGTAGCATTCAGGTTAAATAATGAATAATAATGAATGTCTGCTTCATTGAGGACCGGTGCATTCTGGACTCATGGTAATATTGAAGTGGCCTGACTAGCTAAACGCTCTTTTTTTTCCCTTTCCTGTCTTCCAGCGGGGTCAGACTGCGCTCTCCATAGCCACCAAAGGTTCCCACACCGACACGGCCGCCCTGCTGCAGGCCCACGCCAAAGCTCGGGCTCTCTGAGGCCGAACGGCTGAATCTCCGCTCACGACTTGTGCTCTCACGCGTGGTCTTTTTCTTTCCCGAGGCACTATGAAAACGCAGACTGGACTGCTTCTGTCACTTCTCGGGCTTCCCGACTTGCTGCGCGGGCGTGCCGGCGAGGCTGTGTCCACTTGGGTTGGCTAAAGCTCGGTCCAACGTCGGTTGTTGATGCACTACAGAGTGAATATGCCAAATTCTGTTCTCCCTATTTGCGATGTTTGTACTCGTCTCCGATCTTTGCACATTCACGCAGCAGCTTTGTTCTGCCTTCTATGCAACGGAAAAATGTATTTATTTTAAAGTATTATGCGTCCCGTGATTTTGTACAGTATTCCAAGTAGATGAATCATCAGAAACTATCCCACCGTATGCCAACGTCTATCTGATTTAAAGAAAAGTTAACTGTATACTTTATGGTTGGTGCAATAATCAAGCAGGCTCTAAAAAAAGATCCTGCAAACAACACAATCTATTTTTGGTGCCAAGAACCCAACCAGTTGATTTTACTTACTAGCTGTTGCCATATAGATGCATCCACTGTTTGTCTTTCAATTAAAAAAACAAAACAAAGAATTGTGTTTTTTTTGTGAACATGGAAGCACTTTCTGAGCCTAGTTGAATTGGCCAGCTTTGTTTCTGTAGTGACAAACCTCACCAACAGGTGGCACAGCTCCTCCATGTGAAACACAACAGAAAGCAACTGTCTTCAGAAATCAGGAAGGTTGAACTAACCATATATTAAGAGGCTCCATCTCATCCCTTTTAAGGGGGATAGACAGTTACAAATTCGAAACCCCACTTGTTTAAGGGGACTAACTCCACTGCAGAAGTGCACACGGTTTGATTCACCTGCAAAGCCAGAAATATGGCAGCAAGGACTCCTCAGTCGGTCGTGAAAACAGATTTGTTTGGCAGGCTTTTGTCCCTCGGATTCTGGGCAACTGAAAGTGGGAAGAGAGTTAGATTTGGAGCAAGGAGTTATCCATTTAGGATAAGAAAATAAAAAAAGGATGGAGTACATAGATGAAAAAATATGGTGGATTTCTGGCTAAACGTACGAAACCAATAGTGGATTTCAGGGAGCAAATACACCCCAAAATCACACAACACATTTTTTGTTTGTCAGGTGTCACGGATGAGTAGACACCTGTAAATAAAAACATCTTGAGCAGCTTTTCCACACAGACAAATTGTAAAGCGGTACAGACCAGCATATGTACGTTACACAGATTTATAGGAGGAGATTCACCATCCCATCCCCCATCCACACACGTCTTGATGTCACCGAGAATAAAAGGGCTCATCTCAGCCTTTGTGCGGCACAGAACAATCACGACACCTCTTTTGTGTGCTTCAGACATCCCCCCCCCCCCCCCCCCCCCCCAAAAAAAGATAATCTATGACATAAGACTTCAGTGGGTTTCATGGAGCAAGGAGGCCGAGTTTAAAGGCATTTGCTGTGCCTGATGTTAATAATGACAATGGAGTGGATTTGTCCGCGGCAGTTCTTCTGTCTGCTGACGGATCGCTTCATCAGAGGATGAATGCGACCCATATTTCGGTCGGAGTAGGTTTAAACCGGGGGGTTTCACAACCTGTCCAAGTATTTGCCGGCAGCAGACCTTCGATGTGGCCCCACTTCTCCGTGAAGGTTTCCAAAACTGGACCGACTGTCCTTTAAAAGGGTCGAATCGAGACGGTTCAGTCAGTAGTTTTGACGTCCAGTTAATCGGCCATTGAACCATACCCCCCCCCCCCCGACACAGTCCCAGTATGCATGCACACGAGCAGAATTGAGTTCTTAAACCGACTAAGTCTGGCACAGACGCAGAGGACAGTGTGAGAACGAGTTCAAGGCACTTTTTCGCTTCTAATCTTCTCTCTGGGAGAACGTCCTTCCTGTTAGAACAGCTGATTTTGCAACTTATTCAAGTTGCTTGAATTGCCATTACGTTTCTGTTAGATGACACTGTGGCTGTAAAATCAGGATTCTTTTGGAGTTGAGCCACTGGAAGAATGCTTCATCTTACTACGAATTCACACATTATTTTAATGGGATGGGAAAAAAGTCAATACGTTTGCCTCTGTGACAGAAGAAATTGGATGAATAGATATTTATTCATATATAGAAATATGCAAAAGGGTCACACTTTGAAGCAAATGTGCACATTTGACTAATTTGGAGATTTGTACAGCGGTTGCATCCTTTGGATGCTTTAGTCTGACTTTCAGACGCTGTACGATTTTGGTTGAACTAACTTCAACGTGCATTTGCAATGTCAAGCTAGCAAACTTATGAGTCTTAAAAAGAACTAAAAATAAAATAATACAGAAAATAAACTTATTTTCTAGACTTTTTACAAAGAAAGGGCAGTTGAACCTCACAAATATGTCATCAGTGGTATAAAAACGTGCTATTGTCAAAATTAAAATGAACAAAGACGTAAATAAAATGTTTATTGTAACTATTATCAAGATGATATTGGGCTTAAATTTACGCCAAAAGCTACTATTTTTCATCTGGAGTTCCCAAAACCTGAGGAATAACATATGTTTATCAATTGATTCTGGGTGATAAAAATTATCCTTATGACAATTTCCTTTTTGGCTTTGAGTTGAGCTAATCTGCAGCATATTTTTTTATAGGATATACCATTTATATCATTGGTTATAATCTAGCATAAATTAGGCAAATAGTCCCATTCAGGCAGCTAAGAATCCTCTGCAAGCTAATTCATTATCTTCAGATTTGTTTACTTGAAATTTGTTTGGCTTGGTGGGAAAAAACACAGAAATCCAATTATCTCCCAACGGCTCGGGGTCTGACTTGCTTCATTTACTGAATACATAATCTATAAATAAGACACCAACTGCTACATTTTCTGTTTACGAAACACTGTTCAGCGCTTTTAATACTGGGGTAATCTAATGGTTGAACCCGACAGATGGTGACATTAAACGCTTTTGTCGAGATCTAGTTTATATTTCTCCAGTGATTAAACCCTTCAAAGATCAAACAGGTCGTCAGCCTTATAAAAGGGGTTATTACCGGAAAAAAAGAAATTCATTACTGCATGTTGCAACGGTCTTCATGCTGATAATAGCCGTCTGTTTCAGGATAAACTCAAAATATTGCAAGCAAGAAAACAAAACAGGCACAGTCTTAGGAGTTTTTTGGGGAGATAGTTTTTTTTATATAACAATATATAGAGATATTCTAAAGTAATCAAGTACAGAAAATCAAAAACGGCCAGCCAGTTTGGTCTTAAACTGGCTGATGATTGCATGTACAGTTCTAAGCTGCTCATGAAAAACACTTCCAAAATATATGGAAAATTCCAAAAAAAGGCACAAAAAATAAAAGAATCAACAAAAGACAAACAAAACAAAAACTGTGGGAAATGTTGCAAAGATGTTGGAATTTTTTTGGGGATACAACAACTCTTTCATGTTTTTTGTGGGTTAACAGAGGGGGGGGTAGAAAAAAAGGGTTGCACACAAAGAAGGATGTGAGTGGTGCACACACAGCAAGAAAACGACACGAACCAAACAAACCACTTTGGTGGATAAAACGATGCTTTTCTTTGTACAAATAAATTAATATAACTGTCCACGCTTTTATCTAAAATCTTATTTACAGCTGCTCTTTTCCATCATTATATAATACATTATCAAAAACCTTATGAAAACATATTTACAAACCGACGAATCGAAAAGCATCCTCAATTCTTTGCCCACGCATCCAACACACACACACACACACACACACACACACACACACACACACACATACACACACATACACACACACGCACGCTCAACATACTTGCGTTCCCACACGTACATCTAATTCTTCCATGCAAAAACACAATACAGAAGGCATTCTCAGAGGGTTGTGCAACAGAGAGCATACAGAGGAGTTCCTTTATGGCTGTGGGATGAGCGTTGGCACACACATGCATGGCGGTGAACGCGCACACGCGCCGGCCGGACTGGCTGACCTCGGCCCTCGGCCAATCGGAGCCCGACTTCACGCAACGGCTCACCGTACGATTGGGAGTTGTGTGGAACAGTGAGTGACTGGGCTTTCGGTTGGGGAGAAGTTATTCATTCTGTTGGTGTTTTGTGTGTGTCTGTGCGTGTGTATGTGTGTG